AGGAATCGAAAGCGGTTGATCGGCGTGTATGGCGCGATCTGCTCATGAAGACAGTTGCCCAGAAGCAGGAGAAAGACCACATTGCAGAGAAGAAGCGGTAAGTGCGGAAGCGGTAGGCGCCGATGGGTTGTCCTCCATCGACATCGAGCGCATGGTGCTGTAGATCATGCTGTCGCGAGTACCTGAGTCAGGCAGGCCTAATGAGCCATGGGCGACGCCACTCGGGGCCAACACCGAAGCGACGACGGGTCCTGCAGAGAACGCAGGCAGAACCGGTGCAGCGTTTGTAAGTACGCTGCATTCAATTTACTAACCGCTTGATTGCACGCTGGGTCTCCTTATTTCAGGTTGTGGGTTTGCTATATTGTTTCATGATTGCCTACGTGAACTATCTTCCATGAACTTGCACACGTCGCTTAAGCTAATTGTAGTTAACTTGGATAACGATTTCGGGTTTGAGGGATTAGCTTAAATTATATTTTCTGACGTCCTAAAACTATAGCGGATATTTTGGCAACCAATTTATTTCATATGCTCATTTATTATACAGCTATGTCGGCATACCTGTATGCATTATTCGATTTATTTTATTTGTTATTGTGGTTTCAAGTGATTGGCTGTTGCTTGATATTCCCGGTGCGGCTGTGCTTGAGGTGCATGTTGACAAGGTGCCTACCTGTCTAACAGCCTTGACCTCGATTACTGTCTCCAGGAGACTGTGAACCGTTTCTGGGTGGGGACAGGGTACACGATCCTTGTGGTCGTGTTAGGCTCAAAGAGTGGTTCCATGCACTCAATGTAGAGCGGACTATGGTCCAGCCACCGCCTTGTGTGCGCTTGATTCCCAAATGTAGTGTGCATTTGTTTGCCTGTCAAGGAGTGTGCGCCAGTTCAGTTGATGAAACGTGGCTCCCATCCACATGCCTCCCGATCTTATTTCTTTGGTTTTACGACGGATATGGGGTGTGGTTGGAGCTGTGGGGGTGCAGCGCAAACCACTCATGGTCCCACCGTAGACGCAGGTGTCCTGTGGCTGGCCAACCACTTATGGTTGGTGGCCTCCGGTTCCAAATGTGCCTGTCACTGTGACCAGCCACAGCACTCCTGCACCTACAGAAGGACCATGAGCGGCTTGCGTTGCACCCCCACAGCTCCATCCACACACCCCATATCCAGTGTAAACCCGAAGGAATAAGACCGGAAGGCATGTGGATGGGAGCCACGTTTCATCAACGGAGCCGGCCCACACTCCTTCACAGGCAAACAAAAGCACGTTGTATTTGGGAAATCCAGCGCACACAAGACGGTGGGTTGACCGTAGTCCGCTCCACACTGACTGCATGGAACCATTCTTCGAGCCTAGCACGACCACAAGGACCGTGGACCCCGTTCCCTCCAGCAACGACCAATTATCTCCTGGAGCCAGTATGGACGAGAAAGTGGGTAATAGACAGGTAGGCACCTTGTCAACATGCACATCAAGCGCAGCTACACCGGGGATATCAAGCAACAGCCAATCACCTGAAACGACAAGATGAAATAAAACAAATCCAATAATGCATACCGATACGGTGGCATAACTCCTCGCTAAATTAGCATATGAAGTAAGATGGTTAGCAACGAATCCGCGATAAGGAAAAAGTGTCCACAACTTAGTTAAAAATGCTACAAACGCAACAAAGTTACCAAAGATACGCGCAATTAGTGTAAGCAACGTGGCCAGTTAATAGATTATTCAGGTAGGCAGAACAAACCAAAAAAAGTGGAATGAAATTTAGCCAGCTTAAAAGACACATGGTTGGCGGCATCCGGTTTCGGATTTGCCTGTCACTGCGGCAAGCCACAGGACGCCTGAGCCTACATAGGGACTATGAGTGGCTTGCGCTGCACCATCCACAGCTCCAAACACACACCCCATATCCAGTGTAAACCCGAAGGAATAAGACCGGGAGGCATGCGGATGGGAGCCAGGTTTCATCAACGGAGCCTGCGCACACTCATTCACAGGCAAACACAAGCACGCTGTATTTGGGGAATCAAGTGCACACAAGGCGGTGGCTGGACCGTAATCCGATCCACACTGAGTGCATGGAACCATTCTTCGAGCCTAGCACGACCACAAGAATCGTGCACCCCGTCCCCTCCAGCAACGACCAACTGTCTCCCGGAGCCAGATGGACGAGGTAGTGGGTCATAGACAAGTAGGCACCTTGTCAAAATGCAAATCAAGCGCAGCCACACCTGGGATGTCAAACAACAGCCAATCACTCAAAATGCCGATATCGAATAAAGTAAACGCATATGACGACATAAATACTCGCTAAATGAGCATATAGAAGAAATTGGTTATAAGTGAATCCGTGATAAGTACAAAATGTCCGAGTTATTTAAAAAATACCACGCGATACAATTACGCAAGTTTACCACAATTTGCATGAGCGACGTGTGCAAATTGGGAGAAGATTATCAAGTACGCAGAACAAACCAAATAAAAGGTAATGAATCTTATCCACATTAAAAAGACATAGTTTAAGTGTAAGTTGGTTTAGCCCAACTGCGGTGAAGAAGCATCATGAATGCAACATCAGCCTCAGCATGGGGCACAGCCAACCACATATATAAATATATAAATATGAATAAATATATGTATATATATGTATATAGATTCAACACGTTCAATAGTACAATTGGCATGGTACCACAACGTATATGAAACACAATAAACCAACGAAAACAGAGGTAAATATTATAAACCAGTGTTCACGGGAATAGGAAGTCACAACAGGTCCGCCACTGCGGCCGGTTTCTTGCCGTATCCGAAAGTGTTTTCAACAATGCATGTTCCTCCTGATCCTTCACATCCCAGCCAAGAAGCCGAGATCGCCCGACCACGGCTAACTTTGACGTTAGCTCTTACATTCGCCTGACCCAAGTGATACGCTAGCTACATTGCTTTCGCTTCCAGCCGACTTCTGCGCGCGTGAAGAGGGCACAGTGAGATAAACGTTGAGTAGGCGTGCGAAGCACATACTCAAGACACAAAATTCTGCGCAGAGGAATTATGCTGCTCAATGGCCGGCAAAGTCTGTCTGAGCTGAAAATCCCCCGTCGTACATCCTCATTACTAGTGTGGTGCCATCGTACATTAGCAATGCTCCGAAGGCAGCGGTGATCAAAAACAGGCAGTCTCTCAACATCCTTTGCGAACAGGCCAAGTCACGTAGCCATAGAGCAGAATCGGTTTCATTGTGTCATTGTAAAGTCGGTCCTTCAAAAATAGGCTCAGATCGCCTCGACTCCAGAGATGACGGAGATTGGCAAAAGCAACCCGAGCCTTGGAGACGAGTAGAGACTACATTCGTTAAACCATTAGCGTTGAGGCAGCTTCCGAGATAAACGAACTTGTCTACCACTTCCAATGAATGACCTGAAAGGGTAAAGATAGTAGCAGCACCTAGGCAGTCCTGTAGGAAGACCTTGCACTATGATGGTGCGAAGGTCATTCCAAGCTGGACCTTCCTCTTCTAGCAAATTATAGTCGGAAAAGTGCACCAGATCACAAAGTCTCTAAAAAGTCGCCTGGAGGAAAGCGCTGCTTACCGGATGGAATTGACATTTCCCCAGAGATAACAGTGACTGTAAATCAGGCAACAGCGTTAGCAGCTCAAAGAACAGTACAGCTACATAACAGGGTATCATGTATTCGCTACTTATTTCACAAATTGGGCTGAATTCGATATGCTACAATGATGAGTACCTAAAAGTCGCAGAAGTTTCAAAGGCCTGAGCGAAGCATGGGCGATGCTGATCATCAGTAAAGCAGATATTTCCATTTCATTAACAAGGATTAGGATCACAAATCAGGGCTGGGTCGAGCATTTCCTTGAATAGACTCTTAGGAGACCGAAACATTTACACATCACGGATTCCGTGTGGTAACCGTCAAATGGAGTTGCGAAACGACTTCAAGTTATTTTAACAGTCAACTCGATAACTTATTAGTGCGCCATACTCATGAATAGAAGGAGTTGGTGGGAATTAGTTACGTCATCACAGCTAATTTACAAGCCGACCCGGAAAAGCGCTGGACGGCCGTTTCGTCCTCCTTGAAGTCATCAGTGGTGTGCGTACCGTTGGTCTCCTTCGAGGTGAACCGAACCCAATACCTCTAGTGGGTTACACTACTAACCAACAGCTTATGCCATTGAGCCATGAGACGATAGCTATAGTTGGCAGAGCAAGCAAAAAACGGAATATTAGTACATCAAGCCCAAGTATCTCAGATAACAATTAGAGGACTATGTAACAGTGTCTGTTGGTCACCGTTGCAGTATTGGCGGTGTGAATTGCGCTTGCACAAACAATTTCAGCTTCAGTTGGTGGACGTATATAGCCTCGGCAATGGACAACAGTTGCTTGCGGAAACTTTGTGAGAAGCGTTCAAGCAATGAGTAGATGGCTTTGAAGTCTTTTTCAGAGGCTGTATGGTCATAATCAAGGAGGTGTTACAAGATAGCCGATTGAAACCTCCGCCTTTGTAAAACCAAGCCGCGATATGCGCGCGAATCCTTTGAGGAGTACGCTGTTTAACAACCCAAGTAGCATGTACCACAGGAACAAGAGCGCTAATAAACGAGCACTGAACGAAGCAATGACGAGAGTCCATCTTTCAAGGGTTTTACAAGTTATAGCTAGTTGTGATAAACAATTCTCAAGCAGGCCGTAAAAAACCTTTTCTCAACAGCAGCTTCAAGGCACCGAGATAAAATATATGAGCAACGGAATCGCCCTTGTGTGGCAAATGTAGGAAAAACTCTTCCTAGGGGAAATGCTCCTAGACGGCTTTTGTTTGCGCACGCTTAAAAGCTCCATGATAAAGCTGTCGAGATAAGTATATTCCCTCAGGGCGTTGCCGGTTCTCTGTAGGTCTTTATCGACGCCATCCGATAAAGCGGTGACATAAGTCTTCGCTAAAAGTGATGGAAATAGCAGGTACTCACATCCCACAAGCATCACGATGATAGAGAACACCTTTTCTGAGTTTGTGTTCGGGCTAACGTTTCCGAACCCGATGGAGGTGAGGCTGGAGAAGGTGAAGTATAAAGCGGTGATGTATTTGGTCGGCAAATTTGGTCCCGATTGAGGATCTTCTGTGTAGAACTGCTCTGTTTGGATGGCCAAGGTATCAAGCCAACCAATTTTCGGTTCGCGAAACTGATGCTCAGTGTTACCGATGGCGTACCTAGAGTGAAAAGGAGAACATTCAGTATTTCGTAGATTTCCGTGGACAAAATCAAGCGTAGATAAAGACTATGCAATCAAAAGGTTGCACAAAATAAACCCAAGTGGTTGAGCAAAGTGGAAAACAAGATGATGAAAGGCTGTCGGTTACAATTTGAGGCAATGTCAAGTGTGACAAAACGATCACCTTTCAATCCAAGTAGAGTGGAAACAAGTGTCAAGAAATATGCTGTACCGACCAAGCATTGAAGATGCAATCTTTGTAGAGTGAACGAGGAATGATAATAAAAGAAGGGCGGAATAAATGGGGGGGTGTTCGCTAGTAAAGCCATCATTTAAATTAGGAGCAGATGACAGAATTTTAAGTCCAATGTTTAAATAAAGCAACGTGATGAATATCATTCAGGTACGGAAATGATGGGAATTATCGGGTGTAAGCTTTTGCACATTCAAAAGTGGAACAAAAACACAAAATAAACTGCCAATAGTTGCAAAATCCATCACATAGTTTATTCGATCTAGAAAGGAGATTCCTCTTTGCCAAAATACTCAAATCACTGAGCAGAATGGTTGGCCTACTCAGACCTTTCAGGTAGGCAGTGGTTTAGAAATAAGCAGAGCGGTTCCCAGTATCTTACACTAAGCGTCACAGATAGGAGAAAACGCATGGTCGGTTTTCGATGGCAGCGATGGTTGCTTCGGGATCTTCAGAAAACACAAGGGATATGGACAGTCCGTGAAGCGAAATGCGCGTGTAGCCTACTCTATTCCATAACCACAAAGTCAGTGGTTAGAATTTAAATAGGTAACTAGATTCGATAGATGACGAGGAACAGAAGCATGTCCGATAGGTGAGTGTCCTGGTGTGAACAAGGTTGCGACAAAAATGAGGTCTTGAGTTGATTAAAAGATGACATCAATCTCTTTGAAAGTTTCTGTGGTTTCCATGTCATCTTAACTTCGTTCTGCTTCTCGTTTTTTCATCGGAGTGTACCGCAGTCGGAATCTCTTAAAAAATGGCATCTGGATATGGTTCAGTACAGGTAAGCAAGTCCTTGGATACACTGGTTGACATGGCGAAGAGCCAGCTCCAATGGCGTTTGTGTTGTGCGTTGCTTTGTCCCTCCACCTCCTGCTTATCTTCTCCTTCAACCACGTTCTCACATGCGACACCAAGCAACACATTACTTTTTTGGTTTTATATTGTATTCTGTAATGTTTTGTACCACGTTTTGCTCATAAACTTTATATTTGTATTGCAGCACAGTAATTGAAGTGTGTTTATTACCTTCAGCTAACGTGCAGTCATGATGATGATGGTTACCAAGTCACTACTAACAAACTCTTGAATATCTACTCTTTCAAATTCTGCCATGGAAAATGGAATGTTTAGTATGGCGACCTTATCATGTTCAAGATTGAAGGAGACTAGTTTTTTAAACAGTTCTGTATTGTTTCTGGTTGAAACTTGTGCCGAACGGAACAAGTTTGAACGTAGCATCTAAAGAAGTAACTGACGCTGTAGATGAAGTTCTTTCGTATACAAATTATTAGCAAGCATTTTTATTAGAACCCATTGCATGCTATGGACTTGATAGTGCGTTTTGGAAAATTGGACGAGTCCTTGGGGGCACACACTGTACGTAGCAAACACACATGCGCGTACACATGGAGGGGCAGGATAGAAATGATCACGCCCCGTACACAGACAGAGAATAATGCTGTATCGCCAAACGTTCACAGAGCCGTGAAGTGCAGTGATTGTGGATCAGAAGAGTTTGACGCATTGCCAAATTCCGTTGCATACACATTAGTATTGGAATAAATGGGTTGTTCGGCAAGCACCAATTAGTAAGCCTGCGTGTGAAAAAGTTAGTAAGAAAAAGTTAAATTAATAATGAGTTATAGCTTAAGTGGTCAATAAACAAGTTACAGAGATGGTCTGGTTCCATAAGGTCTACATCTAAGCTATGAAAAAGCGGTCAACCTCGGAGGATTTAATGCATGTAAGTAACGCCACGAAAATGGAGTAAACTCGGTTACGGCACATGCATTTTCTATCACTAACAGCAAATTAAGGTCACCACGGGCGAACATGAGTAAAAGAAGCAGCCTGTCATCAGGGACAGGGAGAAAATTAATGGTAAAAATTTGCAGTCAATTGTTAAGTGATAAGGTCATGATACAATAAAAGGCGTGCTAGATAATGGATGACCGTAGGTTCGTGCGCGGTCACATTTGGACTCCGATTTCTGATAAGAGAAGTGGATGTGCGGTAAGAAAATGGAGGGTTTTGCATACATGAGTGTTTCTTGATGTAGGATAATTTGCAGGAAACGAAATGAGCTGACACTACAGTGAAAACAAGTCAGATTCGAATGGCCTGCTGTATGGCCTAAGGCGCATGCTAAGCCGGGCTGCGGAAAAAAAGGAAGGAACAGCAAGAGTGAACCGAAGAATAGGACAACTGGAGAGGAAGGTGGGGTCAGAAGAGGAATGTAAAGTGAGAACTTTATGACGTTGATAACTTCATTCGTATGAAAAGGACCCTATAAATCTCAGCACGGCGCAACTCCGAGATATTTCACTGAGCCCTCATTGCCGATGTGAAGCCGAGGACAATCTGCACAACGTCGATAAGAACTACCATGTTTAGGTGGCTAGAAAAAGTATCAATGCGTTTCGATGCATTCGGTCACAGGTGACGAGCTTTTGGATTAAGCTTGTCCATACATATATGTAGGCTGCATGAGAAGACTGTGGTCAGGTGGTCGATACCTTAGATCCAATCGGTGGCATGGACAAGAGAAAGCAAGTATTGAAGTCACGTGAGTGAAAAATAGATGACAAAGTAGTCTCATGCAGAGCGCCAGAAGTTGTGACGAGCGGCGGTTTTGTCGTCAGTGTTGAGTAACCATGCGTGTTTCTTGAAATCATGACGTGAGAAAAGCTATGGAAGGTTGAGTACCAGAGTCGAGTCGATCACATGACAGTGACTTGTAGCTTAGACAGCGGAAAACACTGCTGCGGCCAAGAAAGCAAAAGCCTGCGGAGTCGATTTCAATGTCTAGTGATGATAGCAACAAATACACGAAGCAGGCCACTGTACCTTGAGTAAGCCTGAAGCTAGAAAATTTAAACTAGTGCGTATCTAAGCGACCATCCTTTAAAACTGTTATCTTCACACCGATGGTGCAGCCGGTACAATACTACTGCCCTGGATCTTGGCCCAACTATGGTTCCCAATCAGAAAATCTTGCCAACAAGTTTCAATACTGATGTACTCAGGAGGTTATCACCATTCATCACTATACACGTCAGCTAGAGTTGGGAAACACTTCAGTTACTGTGCCGCAATACATAAATGAAAAGGAAAATAAATACAACAGTTGCATGCCAGATGAGCTACCAGCAACGAATAGGCATCGTTCCGGTAAGCTACCAGCCGGCTACCAAGCAAAAAGAAAAATTATTATGTCTTACGCTACGAAATGAGATCGTAGGTGGACGGGTAGGCTAAAAGGGATGGGGATGGACAAAGAAACTCACAGCAGGAACGCCATTGAAGTCGGTTCCTTGACTTGTCAGCAAGTGTATCCAGCCAAACGTGTTCATCGTCTTTCGGACCCAAACCAGGGAGCCGTGACGCTCCAACCGAGGCCAGCTCCGAAGTGGCAGACTTCATTCCTCTGGACAAAGTCATCCCTGGGCCACTACTTCTCTTATTCCATCCACATCCCCGGTGAGCAAACAACGCACGTCGTGGAAGCCGGTGGGCTGGCATGCGCAACAAGTGGCCCAGTCTGTGAAGAATTATGGAGGCGAGTAATTTGGAGGCAATGGAGATCAAACTGATTCCTCTATAGCTGCCGCATTCCGAACGCGAGCCTCCTTTGAAGATGGGAACAATAACGGAGCGACTCCAGTCGGTTGGGACAGCCTCCTGCTCCCACACTTTCACTAGTAATTCATGTAAAGCATCAACAAGAGTAGAGCTTCCAAATTTGGAGGGCGGAAGGAAGGTCATTTGGTCCCGCGGCTTTGTTCAACTTCAACAGTCCGATCTCACGTTCGACTTCTGAGCGAGGGTGGATCCAAAGGGACAGCCCACGGAGCAGGGAGATCACTGGCCGGCGAAGAATCGAACAATTCTAGCCGATTTAACTGCTTTTCAAAATGCTCAGCCCAACGCTCCAAGCGTTTTCACAAATTGTGGATAGGCTGTTCACTCTCGTCACGTATAGTTTCACTAACACCAGGTCTCCTGCTGCACGTTTCCCGTATCAGACGGGCAGCGGCGACTTCGATCTCTGACACACGATGAGACCACCAAGGTTCGCTGTCTCTCTTCAGGCTAGCACAGAATTTTGCCCGGAGCTCTTTGCGAGTTTCATTGTGTTCGCTTCCAGCCGGGATATGCCGGCGAGCATCGATAAGTTCCAGAGACCGCGAAGAAACCTAATATCCATGTTGGCTATTAGACTTACCACATGAGGGTTTGCCTGCTGCTACTAAAGTCTGGCGAACATGTGACCAGTGACCATCAATTGTATCAAGTGAGCGCTTACTCAACTCGCATGTCAGCGTACTTCGGTACGCATTCAGAACAGCTGGCTTTGTCAGTTGGCTGGTGTCAATGCGCTCACAACGTCGTCGTGGGTATCCGCCAAAACGCATCCGCATGTCAGCACATACAAGTGCATGATCGGTGTCCATACATGTGCTCCAAATCGAGCGACAGTTCTGGACGCAGCCTCTCCAGCGGTAACTGATAGCAATGTGATCGATCTGCGTCCAAGGCTGGATCGAGACAGGTGGGCGCTAAGTCACCCTCCGGCGGGTGCTGTGTCGGAAATTAGTGCTCGCAAGAAATCAGCGGGCATCTTCACACAAATGAAGTAACCGCTCACCGTTATCATTACGGGAGACTACACCGTGCTGACCGCCCAGATGCATTTCATCAGTGGACAACTTTCTAATTTGTGCGTTCATATCCCCCGC